TGTTCTTTTCAGTCCTGTCAGGGATGAACTTGTGCCAGAAGTTGGATCACTTAAGCGCCCATCAATCCTTGTGATTGATGGCCTGGGCAACGACGACTGGTCGTTCTACGCTGCCGAGACGTACCCTGCCGCTACATTCTTCAACATGTCTCCACGAGCACCGTTGCCCACCGAGCACAAGGCCGCATCGACATTTCCACTCAGCCCCCCCAATCATCACCAGATTCAGTACACCTCACATGCGGACAAGTTTCCCTTTGGCGCCGAAAGCTTCACTTCTGTGGTCTACCGATTCCCAGCCGCAGGGCCTGAATCCCACTATCGCAACATCATGTCTGAGGCACGCCGCGTTCTGAAACCCGGCGGCTACATTGAGCTTTCGGTGCTGGACGTCGATCTCAACAACATGGGGAACCGGGCGCGCCGGACGGTTAGGAACCTCAAGGAGCGCATCCACGAGAAGACCCCAGAGACAAGCTTAGGCTCGTCCTCGGATGTTATGCTCCGTCTTCTCGGCCAGCAGGGCTTTACTGACGTTAAGACATGCCATGTTGGCGTGCCTGTCGCGAGCGTCGTGGCTCGGGCGCAGGATGGCAAGAAGCCTCCTGCCAGTGGGCTGAAGAAGCCCAAAGATCAGCGCAGCCTTGCCGAGATGATGAACGACAAGAGCGATGCTGCCGACGAGAACATCACCAAAATGGTGGCCAAGGTTGGCAGGTGGTGGTATACTCGGTGCTACGAAAGCACAGTCGGCAGTACACCCGCTCGCAAAACCATCTGGGCCGACCGCGCCCTCCTTTCGGAATGTGAAGAGTGGCGCACAAGCCTCAAGCTCCTAGTATGCTATGCCAGCGTGCCCGGTAAGGGTCGTGTTGCTAGCATCTAGGCATTTCCCCTTTATTCCACATCTTTACCCCTGCATGATCTGGACTATGTGTATCCCAGAATCATCATATAATCACGAGCCAGCACCTTGTGCAGACGCCACTACGACACTTTCACGATCACAGGAACAACCATGACGACAAGACTTGACAAGATTCCATTTTCGACAAGACTCAACAGGGCGCAAGCCCGAATGCTGCTTCAGGATCCAGAAGGATTTCACCCGAGGCATGGCGTGTGACTTGTACATGCAGCCGGAAAAACAGAACAACATCCAATCCGTCGCCGATCCCTTGAATGGGCCCGTCGGCACCAGCGGTTGGTTTTCCTTTCTTACTGTCACCCTTCCACATACATGCGTACCATGGGTGCAAGCCGGCGACGGCTGTAATCGGATCTGGGCTGGATATTTCGCCATTTCTTGTTCCTTCTCAATGACCACTGGCTGGTTTGCCAATGGAAACGAGCCATTTGGTTCTCGGCATTGCTTCTTTTCTTTCTAATTCTTTCAATTTTTGGAGCGATTTTCATGGGAGTGTATGCGGATAGTCATGGAGAGAACAATTGCAGCACGATGGGACGAAGGAACTGGCTGTGCCGCGATGATTTCTCCCCTACTTTTGGTTCTTGCTGGGCTGGCGGGGTCCAGTGCCTTTTTGGGCGGAGGGAAGCTGGCTCGAGGCCGCAGGTTTTATGACGGACAATGGGCTAATGAGGCGCATGATGGCATGTCAGCGAGCGTCTGATTCGTGATTTAGCGGACGGCATGACATGGGGGCGCGGGATCACGGCGCGCCGTGATGATTAGATACCCCGATTTTGAAGACATTCTTTTCGAGCGAGCGACGAACTATTTGA